TTGTAGGAACGAGAACGGGGCTGCCCTGCTTTATGCCTTTAAAGCATAAAGATAATGCAGTTTACCAACAGGTTAAGTTAGAGGGTATCAGTCTTGGGTCGGTGCTGAGGCTGATCCATGGCAGGTGCGTTAATTTTCTGTTGCTGCTGCAACAAATGACCCCCATTCTTTCACGGTTGTGGGTCCCGGAAGTCCTGCATCGGACTTGGTGGGCTGGGATCAAGATGTCAGGAGGGCTGCAATGCTTCCGGGGGCTCTAGGAGGAGTCAGCTCCCTGCCTTTTCCAGATTCCAGCGGCCGCATTCCTTGGCTTGTGGCCCCTTCCTCATCTTCAGAGTCAGCAGCACAGCACCTTCCATCTCTCTCCTCTCTGACCTCTGCTTCCACCATCACCCACTCTCCTTTGACCCTTTCGAGGATCCTGTTATTATACCTGGGGTCCCCCTGGAGACATGTCCCCACCTCCAGTCTGCAAAGTCCCTGTGGCCATGTAAGGCGACAGGGTCATAGGTTCTGGGGGTTGGACCGTGGACACCTGTGGGAGGACATTTTTCTGCAGACCACCCCCAAATTCCTCCAAGAGCTGTGTGACCTTCACAAGCCGCAGCTTCCCTTCTGGTGACCTGGGTTGTTCTGAGAACAAAACAGCCTGCTGTGGATCAAATGCTTGACCTGGGGTAGGCCCCGGGCAGGTCCACGGTGGTGACAGTTGCTCCTCCCTCCTCCCATGTTGGTCCGTGTAGGGAAGCGGATGGCTCTGCCTGTGGTGGTAGGTAGCGTGCCCCTGGCTCTGGTCCCCACCCCGGATGCGTGCCCTTTGAGTTCCCACTGCACGTCCCCCTCTTCCTGTGACACAGGCGACGCCTCCCCGGTCCTCAACCACGCAGCTGTGCCTTTAATCTCCAACAAGATCTGCAACCACAGGGACGTGTACGGCGGCATCATCTCCCCCTCCATGGTCTGTGCCGGCTACCTGAAAGGCGGAGTGGACAGCTGCCAGGTAGGGGCCCGCCGTGACCTCCAGGGGCCGTGGCCATGGACAAGGCGAGGCTGTTACGGTGACCCAGCCCATGGGAGAGGCCACTGCCGGCATCTCCCTGTGACTGACCATAGAGCAAACTTACAGGCCCGGGGAAGAAGTTTGCTCGAGATAGCACGCCCTTTCCCGGCCAGCCCGTGTTTACCAGCTCCCCCTCTGCCTGGGTGCTGGGCGGGAGGAGGGGACTCAGGGATGCTTCCTTCCCACCCCGGTTCTCGGAGTTTGCAGGGGGACCAAAGAGGCGGGAGGCAGGTGGGAACCTGTGAAGGGGGGCCTCCAAAGCCACAGTGGGTGAGACCCCAATTCTGCCTGGGTCCGGAGGTCAGCTAAAGGCCCTGGCCAGGCGGGCCCTCCCTCTGAGAGCTCCCTCGGGTGCACGCAGCTGCCCTGACCTCCATGGGCTCAGTGTCTGCTGGGAGATGGCTGGGGCTCCGTCAGAGGGACGGGACCCACTGCGAGGGACGCCGACTCAGGTCCGCAAGGGCTGCCGGGGGAGCGCAGCGCCTCCTCACGCTGGACTTTGTGGGGCGGTGACCGGGGAATCCTGCGCCAGAACCAGGGACAGCCATGCCGGGGCCTGCTCGGTGGCCCTTAGTCTCTTTGCCTGCTGTCTAGGGAGACAGCGGGGGACCCCTGGTGTGCCAGGAGAGGAGGGAGTGGAAGTTGGTGGGAGCGACCAGCTTCGGCATCGGCTGTGCGGACGTGAACAAGCCCGGCGTCTACACCCGCATCACCTCCTTCCTGGACTGGATTCACGAGCAGATGGAGGTGGGTGCAGTGCCCGCCCAGCTCCCGCTGGTCCCCGTCAGCCCTCTATGACTCCAGTCCTGCTATAGAGCCAGGGAGTGAGCCATCAGTTGTTGATTCGTCAAGCAGTGACTTTGTGGCTCCTGGGTGCGGGACGTGAGCAGGGTGGGCACACATGGGTGACCGTGCCTCCACCAATCAGGGAAAGGAAGAGAAGCAGCTGAGAGGAGGGAATCCTTGGGGATGGGGACAAGTAGAGTGGGCATGTGTGTGGGTGGAATAGCGGGTGGATGAGGGCAAGACAGGTGGGGGAGGACCCCCATGCCCACTGAGGGGGTTGAACCTTGCCAGGGGCCAGGGATGGGATGGAGAGTCTCTGACCAGGAGGAGCCTGGGCAGCTCTGTGCTTGGGGGGCCTCCCTGGAGGGGACCTGGGAGAGGGAGACAGGTCAGTGAGGCTGTCTTGGAGGAACAGGTGGGCAGGGGGAGCCCTGGAGAAGGTGGGGAGGAAGAAGGAACACCCCCAGAGGAAGGAATGGAGACTCCAGAGGGACAGGAAGCAGGTGTGTGTGTGGGGAGGCTGCAGGGAGGTGAGGCCAGGCCGCACAGGAGCCTGGGAAGCAGGGCACCTCTACCTGTGGCCACTCCGCAAATATTTGCTGACTCGATCTCGGACTCTGAGCCCCACATCATGCTTTGGACCAGTTTCAACGACGTCATTTTCTTTCATCGAGACAACGTTTGCGTGACATAAAGTCAATCGTTTTAAAGTGAGCCTCCAGCGGCATTTAGCGACTCACAGAGCCGTGTGCACCTCTCTAGTCCCAGGACATTTCATCTCCTGCAACAAGGCCTCGCTAAGCATCAGCCCCTTCCCGCTCCCTCCGCCTCTGGCATCCAGCAATCTGCGTTCTGTCCATGCGGACCACAGGCCTTCTTAAAGACGCCTCTGACTTGAAACAACGGCCTAAGAAGGACATCAGACCTTTCATGTGAACCTGGGCGTTAATTTCCTGTCTTTCTTGGGAATTTTTGCTTGAAGTGAGAAGTTCCGTAGCAGTTTCCTTTGTGTAAGGCCCAGGCCCAGGCCTGGCACTCAGCCTGCTGTGCATCCCAGCCCTGCTCTGTGAGCTGCGCCCCCCGCAGGTGCCCACAGGCCCTGCCTCAGTGCCCACGGGGGAGGGGGGCTGGGCAGGGCAGCAAATGCTGGAAGACAGGCCCTCAGGAAGCATCAGCGGGTTGTTCACTGGCAGGCTGGCCCCGCACTAAGCTCTGTAGCACAAAATTCAGTCCAAACCCACCAGCCTCTCACCGAGTGTCAGAGAAGATGGAGGAAGGAGCAGCCCTGCCCTGCAGTGGCCTCGATGGCCCGTGAGTGGGAGCCTGGGGTGCGGACAGCAGTGTGGGCCTGGTGCGTGGAGGGCAGGAAACAGGAGCAGGTCTGAACTCGCCCACGAAGCCACGGAGGAGCGCCCTTCACGAGGCTGCACGCAGGGGCCTGAGGGTCCGTGTGACGAGCTGCTGGTAAAGAAAGCTGAGCCTGAAACAGGTGCCAGTGGGAGAAACCACCTCCCAGTCCTCACGCTGTGGAGGAGGCTGGGGGTGGGCAAGCCTGTTAGCAGTGGTGCCACCTGAGGTCCCAGCAGCATCCCGGCAGGCAGGCCCTAGGACCCTCCTCATATTACAGGTGAGGGGACCTGCCGAAGGCCCCAGAGCAGGACTCCAGCCCCAGCACAGGCTGCCTCGCAGAATCGGCGGTTCTCTAAGGTGGGATGCCCAGGACTCACCCTGGCTGTTTGTGGACATTGATGCCCCCGGGGCCCTTCTCCAGGGGGTGTGATCAGGGTGTGGGTGGGGCCCTAGTGTCATGATGCCCGGGGTCTCAGGGCCCCTGTGAGAACACATGTAGAGCCATGTGGCTCCCCATCAGGCTTAGAAACGGCTTCCACTCTCTATGACGCTGGGAGAGCCGTTTTATCTGTGACAGATGGATCTCTTGATGCCTGAGAGCATCTGAGCTGCCTCCGGCCCACTGAAGGCCAGGGTGAGACTTGCCCCGCCCCCACTTTTTTAAAGTAAATATATTTTTATCAATTGATTTCAGAGAGGAAGGGAGAGGAGAGATAGAAACACCAATGATGAGAGAGAATCATTGATTTACTGCCACCTGCATGCCCCCTACTGGGGATTGAACTCGAAACCTGGGCATGTGCCCTGACCAGGAATCGAACATGACCTCCTGGTTCATAGGTTGACGCTCAACCACCGAGCCACGCTGGCCGGGCGAGACCCTCCCTTTAGCAAGTCTCTCTGCAGGTGTCCCCAGGGAAGACCCCCTCCCAGGAGAGCTTTGCGGGGGGCAGGAGGGGTCTGCATTTTCAGTTGCCCCTTTGGAACATGGATGTGAGGGCCTTCCCAGAGCTCACACATCTGGAAGGGAATTGCCATGTGTTAGCGGATGGGACTGCCTGCTGGAGCATCATTTCATCCTGTGGTTTTTCTCTGTCTCTTTGGGGCTTAAAACAAAATTGCCCCGACTAGGCCGGGACTCAGGAACATGATGCTAGGAGCTGGGAAGTTCACGTGGAAACTACAGAGAACATCTGGGTCGGCGATGAAAGACAGAGGCGGGCAGGCTGGGAGGCCACAGGAGGGAGCTGTGTTACACGAGCCTGCGGTCCGTGGGAGCTGGCGGCCTCCGCCAGCAGAGGCCGCTCTGTCCCCGTTAATCGCAGAGAACAGCCGAGGCTTCACTCGGTTAAAATGCCGGTGCCCACTCCATCCTAATGGGGAAGGGATGACGGAAAGCGCTGAAAAGATAACACGCACGTTTCTATTTCTAGAGGGACTTGAAAACTTGAAGAGAAAGGGGACAAGCCACCACGCTGCGTTCCTGCCACGATGGAGACATCCCCGTCCCTCCACGGATTCCCGGCTGGAAACTTTCAAGAGCAAATGCCTTCAGTGCTCAGCTTGCCGGCACCACCAGCAGAGCCGAGAGGCGACCATCTCTCCACCCAGAACAGTTTGCTTCTAACGCCTCTGACGAGCCACTGGGGCGCTGGACTAAAATGACCTTGAAGTGCCTTTCTGACCTTCACTAAGAAGTGCTACCCTTTCCCATGTGTCGACTAGGTTTTCTCTGCAGCAGCCCTTCAACACGAGTGACAACATAAGCAAGTCCACATGCAAAGCCATGGGCCCAGCAGCCACTCGGCCCAGCACTGCAGGGGCTGTCACTGTAGATGTCCCTGTCCACATGTGTTATCCCCAGGTACCAGAACCAAACCCATGTTTCCTGCTCGTGGGAACGCAGTCTCCCAGTGATTAGTTTAAGGCTTATGTCTGCTCGGTCTCGTAGCACTTGGAGCCTGGTGGGTTCTTGTCCCATTTTTCCACAGGACGTATGCTCTCCCAACACAGTGGTCAGTGGGAGCTTGTCTGAATGTGTACCGACTGCTCGTGTAAACTGAAACCACACGCTTGGTTGATTGTAGAGGCTCGGCTACTTCAATCTGATCTCTTCTATGTACATGGTGGGTCTTGCGTGTTTCTGTTAGAACAGGAATCTCAGCAGATCAGCATGGCCTCATATTCTATCATGAGACTCAGAGTGAGAAACAGAACAGTGGGATAAGCCAGGGCCACCTCACAGGCATGGCGGGTCCTGAGGCCAACAGAACAGACAGTCACATGTCATCAAGAGGCCAGAGGAGCCCTGGCCGGTGTGGCTCAGTTGGTTGAGCATCATCCGGTGCACTGAGAGGCCGCTAGTTCAATTCCTGGTCAGGGCACATGCCCGGTTATGGGCTCGATCCCCTGTAGGGGGGGCGTGCAGGAGGCAGCCAATGGATATTTCTCTCACTTCTCTCTCTCTCTCTCTCTCTCTCTCTCTCTCTTTCTCTCTCTCTCTCTCTCCCTTTCTCTCTAAAATCAGTTTAAAAACATATTAAAAACACCTGGGTTTTTTAAAGAGAGCCAAAAGCTTCCCTACCTCTCTGCAGCGTCCCATTAGCCCGCCAGGCGCCTGCAGCAGTAGAGCCCCTTCCTGTTACCCACACAACCGTCATCCCATCACACACACAGGTCGCTTGCTGAGTCACCGCTGTGGTGCTTTCTCACAGACGAATTCACGAGAAGGTACACGTGTTCCTTTGCCTGGAGGCAGCAGTGGGGAAGGTGGGCGAGTCTCTCAGCAGCATGGGCCCAGGTGCTTGGGGAGGGAGCGGCTCCAGAGACCCCCCCCCCCCCCCAGGAGGTCTGAGACTGAGAGGGGGATAGAGGAAGTAAGGGAGGGAGCACCATTTGGTGATGGTACTTGGATGCTCCCCGCCACGTCAGAGTCGCTGCACAGACTTCTGTATGTGTCTGCACGGCAGCCGGGGGGGCTCCGCACACAGAGCCTGTACATCACTCCTGGGAGTTCATTCAAAGTTCCAGCTCACACTCGGGAATGTGAGCTGTGTTTTGTTGGTTTTGCTCTGCAGTTGTTAACGCATTAGCCTCCCTCATCGCCTCCTTGCACCCTCCGGTTGCTGTAATTTAATTTAGGGCATCTTCTCACACCAGAGGAAAAGGTAGGGAAAGGATGGGATAGGACCAGGGACGGTCCCTGGTCCAGGTGGCTTCTAGATCATCACACCCGCCCCCAGAGCCTTCCTCAAAAGGAAACCTAGGAACTCCCCGCGTCTGGCCATCAGGTGGGGCTCTGGGGAGGGCAGCCACTCCCGCTCCATCCTCCTGGTCCCTGGAAAGTTCCAGATTGTTTCCCAGGCTGGGGCACTGCCTCCTGGGCCTGTGACCTTGGCGCTGCATCCCACCTTCTCCTGGCTCACGAGAGCTTCCCGTGGGGAAGAACACCGGGAACCGTGGAGGGCTGCTGGCGGCCAGGCCACACCTGCAGGTGCCCACTGAGTCACAGCCAGCCCAGGAAGTAGGCGAGACTGTGGGCAGGCGTCAGGGCCCAAGGCAAGAGTCCAGAGTCTTCCCCCTGCACCCCATGAGGTGTCAGGCCTGTGGCTGGGACTCGTGAGAACAGCCTGGCTTCTTCCCCACGGCTCAGGCAGGGGCTCCTCTGTGGGGCCTGTGTAAGGGGGTGGGGGTGGGGGGGTGTTATTTTCTCAGTACAGGCCCTGGGGGAGGGCAGTGTAAACTCTTCCGGGCACATTCCCACTCCTCCAGGACAGGAGTCATCACCAGTCACACACTCGGTTGTTGAGAAAGAAATAATAACCATGAAAGTGATTTTTAAAGTTGTGCTTGGTGTAGGTCGTCATAAGAACTGTGATTTCGGAAACATTCTTCTCGGACTTTTTCAATTGAACTTTTTATAGCTGTAGAGTCACATGCAGTCATAAGGAACAATACACAGAGAGGGCTCATAAACTTTGTCCTGTTTTCCCTGATGATAACATTTTGTGAAACTAGAGTACAGTATAACAGCAGGATATTAACAATGATAAGGTCCACTGACCTACACAGATTTCTCCAATTTTATTTGTACTTGTGTGTGAGTGTGTGTGCCTGCATGTATGTGTCTGAGTGTGTGCCTGTGTGTATGTGTGTGTGTGTTTTGTGTGTGTCTGTGTTTATGCCTTAGTGTGTGTCTGTGTGTATGTGTGTGTGTCTGTCTTTGTGTCTGTGTTTATGCCTTAGTGTGTGTCTGTGTGTATGTGTGTGTGTCTGTCTGTGTATCTGTGTTTATGCCTTAGTTTGTGTCTGTGTGTATGTGTCTGAGTGTGTGTCTGATTGTTTTGAGGAACAAAAATGAACTGCTGATTTGTTAATGACTAGGGAAATAGCCACAATTCATAAAAAAATAAAATAGGCAAAAGATATGAACAGACCTTTTACTAAGGAGATATACAGATGACAATAAACACCTGACAAAAATGCTCAACGTCTTGAAACCCAATTAAAACCACTGCTCGCCTATTAAAAGGGTACATTCAAAAGATTGACCTGCCAAGCATTGGCAAGGATGTGGAAGAAATGGAACTCACACACTCCTGGTGGGTATGCAAAAGGAAACAATCATTTTAGAACACAGTTTGGCAGTTTTTAATAAGTTAATTATGCACCTATCTTATGACTGTCCTTTGTGTGTGTGTTTATGTGTATGTGTGTGTCTGAGTGTGTGTATGCTTGTGTGTGTCTGTGTAGTTTTCAAGAAATTAGTCCATTTCTTCTAAGTTGTCAAATTTATGAGTGTAAACTTCATCATATTCTCTTATTATCCTCTGATGTCTGTAGGGTCTGTACTAATCTCTCCTGTTTCATTTCTAATATCATTAGTCCCTTTTTGCTTTTAATATTTGTCAGTTTTGCTATAGATTTGTCAATTTTATTGATTTTTCCAAAGAACTAGACTTTTTGTTTCAATTATTTTTTCTATTGTTTTCCTATTTTGAATTTCATTCATTTCTGCTCTTATCTTCATTCTCAATGCTTTGGGGTTTTTTTTGCTAATGTTTCAAGGTTAAAAACTTAAGTTTTTTATTTGAGACCTTTTCTCATTTCTAATGTAAGTTAATGCAATAAATGTTTCTCTCCCCACTGCATTAGCCAAGTCTCGCAAATTTTGATATAGAGAGTAATTCCTTTTCATTCAGGTCTGCCTATTTTGAAATTTCTGTGTGTGTGTGTGTGTGTGTGTGTGTGTGTGCGCGCCTGTGGGCATGTGTCTGAGTGTCTGAAACTTGCTTTTGCTCTGTGTGTTACTGAGTTTCGCCGTGCTTAGAGATTTTCCGCTTGTCTGTTCCTGATGTCTCGTTTGATCGAGTTGTGGTCAGAGAACACACTGTGTGGTTTCAGTTCTTTTAGATTTGTTAAGATTTATTTCATGGCCCAGGGTATGGTCTGTGTTGATAAATGTGCACGGGCACTTAGAAACAAAGGTGTATTCAGCTGCCAGGTGAAATGCCCTGTAAACACCAGGTCGGTTCTGCTGGCTGTGGGGGAGTTCCGGTCTTTGTGCCCTGGCTGATATTGTCTAGACCCCCTAGCCGTGCCTGGGAGGGGGTGTCGATGTCTCCACTATAACAGTGGCCTTGCCTAGTCCCCCTTTCAGCTGGATCCGTCTCTGTTTCGTATATTTTGAGGCTTTGCTGATTGGTGAGGACAAATGCTTTTGAAATTTTTAAAGGCAAAATAATTTCTTAGAAGCCATGTCACTGTCTTAAACAGTGGTATCCGTCTATGGAAAAGTGAGAAAGATTGAGGGTCGGGCTGCAAGGCAGCAGCTTGAACGCCCCATCAGAACACCTACGAACCACGACGTTTGCTTTCTAAAGGAGGGTTTGGCAGTAGAATGTCACAGACCAGGAGTGGGTCAGAGGCCGTTCCCTGCCACATGCATGGGGTGTCTCACGTGGGACCCCGGGCGGGGCGGCTGCCAGCTCGGCAGCTCACAGCCACATCTGTCTGCCCCCTGGAAGGAAGCGAGTGAGAATGCAAGAGAGAGAATAACATAGGGGGGACCTTGATCTCTTATATTTTATTTTAAAAAGTGAAGCCACTCACTTTTTAAACTCATGGTTGCTGGCGACCATGGGGACGGCTGCTGAGTGGCACAGGCTGGCTCTTATTCTGTGTGGTGACGTGTTGGGGTTGTGATTGACACCTGAGACGTTAGGATGAAGACTGTTTCGAGGTGACTATGTGGTTTTCATTGCTAAGGGAGGCAGCGCCGCCCTGGAGTAAACAGCAAATGAAGGGCAGGAGGGGGAAGCCTGGGCTCGAGGCCTCCCCGCTCTCTGTGCAACCACAGGGCTCAGGTATTTTTTAACCTCATCCCAGTACCCCCCCCACCCCGCCCCAACCCTCCTTTATAACCTGCATTGGGTAGAGTTTATGGAGAGAGACAGGACCCTTGTTAGGCCACTATTTCTGTCGTTTCTCTTTGCATAAACTCCCAGGAGCAACTCTAATGATGGGAGTGGGAGAAACGTTTTCGGTTTTGTCTCCAGCAGATGCGAGGATTGCGCAGAAGCTGGGACACTGACAGACACTAAGTCGGACAGGTGACAGTGCCACACCTGTGATTGGTGCCTCTGTCCTCAGGAAGGCACTGCCCAGCAGGGTCACAAGACCAGGGAAGGACACAGCCGACAAAATAGGACCTGGCCCCGGAATCATAATCCTTTATATACCCTTCCCCAGCCGGTGGGCGAGCCATCAGGTTTGCCTGAGTTCTAGAGCCCAGCTCTCAGCAACTGTACTTAGAAAAAGTAAACGAAAAAGGAAGAAGTGAATGAAAGGTACAAATTAGAAGTA